GCCCAAAACCCCAAGTCCCCACCACCGCCGGTTCCCTTGAAAAAAAATGTTGAACCTCAGTTCACTGCAATTGCCTAAGTTTGCCCCCAGCCAAACTGGAAAACTCCCCCAAACCCCCTATTAGGGCGCTATCGGCCTGAAATTTGGCCCACCCCAAGGGGGAACCTTGGGCTGCCGCCCACCAAAGCGCCCACGCTCCACCCACCCAGGGGTGGGCGCAATTAATTTTTAAAGCGGTTGCCCCAGTGGCTTCGATAGACAGAAAGCGTGTAGGCCCAGCAGTTTGAGGCCAGAAACCCATTGGGTCTAAGCCGATAAACCCAGGCCGGGTCCATCATCGGGAGCTGATGCAATTGAGATTCCAGGGGCCTTCGGAGACTGCTGGGGGGCCGCCCCAAAGCCCCCAACAAAAATACACAAAACATCAACTGCAAAATGCATCCCTTGCGCGATTCCGGCAAAAGCGACGGGGCTTGCGACGCTCCCGACGCCTCAGTCTCTTTCGGGCGCTCAGCATCCCGACGTCGCTTACCGCACAGTCTCAGCTACGCGTCGGGAAGTGATTGAAAGTGCCGCCGTGCGCCCGTTGGTTCAGTGTTGAAGGATACGCGTTTTACCAGCAGGTAGCCCGACAGTTTTTTGCAATTTTTTCCGAAAATGCCGGGTTTTGCCCCTGGGGTTCTGGGGGGGTTTGCAGGGAATTTCAGGGGGCCTCTAAGGGAGAAAACCGCTTGTCGCTCACTGGCCCCCTTGCGAAGATACACGGTTTTTGAGTCTGGGAAAAACCGGAAATTTTGCGGTTTTTTCGCGCTGGGTGGAGGCCTTTGGCCCCGCAGGGGCCAAAAAGGCCTTTGGGGGCATTTTTTTCCAAAAAAAAATGCGCCAATTTTCCCATAACCTCGCCAATTGGGCTCGGATTTTTGCGCGGAAAACTTCCCCATGCAGCCCCGGGCGCGCCCCTTAAAACCCATTTAAAACATCAAGAACTTTCACAACAAAAAAAAAATTCTTGAAAAATTTGCGGCGCCTCCAGGCAAAAACCCCACTGAGTGTCAGTGTGTTTCTTGCGAAGGGCTGATTGGAGCGGAACTTCCGACGGACAAAATCCGGCCAATTTGAGCGAGAAATAAATTGAAAAGCGAGTTTTTCGCCTTCGAGATGTTTTCCTATCGGCTTATGCGCTTCGGACGTGGCCGGTTCGTTTGCCGTGTTCGGAAGCGAAACTGGGGAAAATCGCATTTTGGAGCAAATTGGGCCGCCCTTTTCGATCGGAACTTGCCATTTTTTTTTCTCCTTAAGTCGCAATCGGGCCAAATTGGCAAAATCAGTCTGGAAAACGTCGCCAAAAATCACTGGATATCGATACAGAAACTTAAAGCCCCTGCATCGATAGCTGCATGTTCCCTCTATTAAACATGGTAAAAGGCGTGAGTCCACCTGAAGGGAGGTGGATGTACCGGRGGTTTGAAAGCGAGCCTGCAGGATTGTGCCCAACTGCTCCYAGGTTTGCAACAGAGATTCAAAAATTTGTSAAAAATCACTCAAAAGCGCCAGTCAACCGAACGCCGAACTATCAATAGAGCACACTCCGCTCTATACGAGAGCATAAAACCAACCCTGTAGCTGCSCCCGCTTGGATGTACCCGGAGGTTAAAAGTGAGTCTACAGAAATCTCGTCAAGCTCTGCTAAATGGCAACGTGGATTTTWAAAAATTTCYAAAATTTCCCCWACTSTGYCACTMAAACGCYAMCTSTCTGGTGMATARRGCAYACTTTGCTCTACAATCSTGTAAAAGAACCAACCTTCCAGCGGGCTTCGGTTGGATGCCACCGCAGGTTAAAAGTGACTCTACACAAATGACGCCAATCTCTACCAAACGGCAAAGTGAATTTCAAAAATTTGCCCAAAATTCTGCAGAAGCGTCACGTCAACTAAAGCTCTGCCATCAATAGAGCATATTTTGCTCTATAATATCGCGAAAGAAGAAACCTTCCAACTGCCTTGGGTTGGATGCCGCCGGAGCTTAAAAGTGAGTCTACGCAAATGGCGTCAATCTCAGCCAAATGGCAAAGTGGATTTTAAAAATTTGCCAAAAATTCTTCAAAAGCGTCATGCCAACTCAAGCTCTGCCATCAATAGAGCATATCTTGCTCTATAATGTCGCGAAAGAAGAAACCTTCCAACTGCCTTACGTTGGATGCCGCCGGAGATTAAAAGTGAGTCTACACAAATGACGCCAAACTCTGCTAAACAGCCTAGTGGATTTCCAAAATTTTCAAAAAATTTGTCAAAATCGTCACGTCAACACAAACTCCGTCATCCATAGAGCACATTTCGCTCTATCATCTCACGAAAGAACCAACCTTTCAGCTGCCTTCAGTTGGATGCCGCCAGAGGTTAAAAGTGACTCTACACAAATGACGCCAATCTCTGCCAAACGGCAAAGTGAATTTCAAAAATTTGCCCAAACTTTTTCAAAAGCGTCACCCCAACACAAACTTTGTCATCAATAGAGCACATTTCGCTCTATAATTTCGCGAAAGAACCAACCTTCCAGCTGCCTCTTGTTGGATGCCGCCGGAGGTTAAAAGTGAGTCTACGCAAATGGCGTCAATCTCTGCAAAATGGCAAAGTGGATTTTAAAAATTTGCCAAAAATTCCTCAAAAGCGTTATGCCAACTCAAGCTCTGCTATCAATAGAGCATATTTTGGCCTATAATATCGCGAAAGAAAAAA